CAGCCTAGAATAGGAGTGAGGTGGGAAAAGTCCGTAGGCAGGTTAAGTAGGGCTCTTCAGGGACAGGGCTGCAGGCAGGTGTCAAGTAAAGGGCCAGAAAAGCTAACATTTCTACCTTCCTTCTTTTCATTCATTCATTCATTCATTCATTCATTCATTCATTTTCGGAGACAGGGTCTCCCTATGTAGTTCAAGCTGAACTTTAACTCACTATGTAGCCCCAGTTGATCTCAAATTCATAGCAGTCCTCCTCCCTCAGCCTCTTAAATGCTGGGTTAGAGGCATGTGCCACCATGCTTGGCATAATTTTTAAAAGTTAATACTTAAAAAGTGCTTGAAGTTCAGGGAGCAATAAATGCGTGTATGTGTTTGTGTGTATGCACATGCATGCTAGAAATTGAATGTAGGGCCTCAGTTATGATTTTTCACTACCTTGAGCTACAACTGTAATGGCCTGCAAATGATCTTTATTTAAGCCACTGCTTTTCAAATTGAAGATTGCTTCAGTTGCACAATGAATTTCATGTTTTGTGGCACTGGGCAAGTCCTCGAGCACACTGCCACTGAGCTATACTCCAGCTGCTTAGTGCACATTATTTAAAAGATTTCTTAAACTTTAATTTTATTATAAGATTGATTTCTGGATATAGATTGTAGTCACTCCTTGTGAAGCAGTTCAAGATTGACCAGGATTGGCAAAAAAAAAAAAAAAAAAAAAATCTGACATTATATTCTATTTACCCTATACTCAGGGCCTCACACTTGCTGGGTCAGTGCTGTGCCGCCTGGCAATTTTTTTTTTTTTTTTTTTTCAGTACCAGGGATTGAACTCAAGACCCTGTGCTTGCCAGGCAAGCACTTATTCTACTGAGCTATCTCCCCAGCCCTGCCTGGCATTTTTAAAAGGCTGTTTAACCAAAAGGTGTTTTATAGTGGACATTTCCACTCCACAGCTCATCACATTATAAATTAAAATGTAGTAATGCTTTGCCTAGATAGATCTTTCCACATTTTGAGTTACTATTGTAGAATAGATTGCCCAAAGTAAAAATAGCGTGTCACTTTTGAAGTACGTTTTTTTTGGTTTTTTTTTACCTATTTTCTGGTTAAATAAAGTACATTTCTGTGTTGTGATAGTATTTCCTTTGAAGCTCACTACCTTCTATGTCTTAGTTACATTGCTTCAGTTCTCTTTTGATTGATTGATTGATTGATTTTGTGTGGTGGCGTGGTACTCTTTGAGATAGGGTTTCCTTGTGTAGTTCAGGCTGGCTTGAATTCACTATATAGCTGAGGCTGGGGATCTTCCTGCCTCAGCCTCCTAGGTGCTGAGATTATAGGCATGCACCACTACACCAGGCTAATTGTCCAGGTTTTTATTTTTTATTTTTTTAAATATTTATTTATTTATTTTGTGTGTGTGGCCAGCTCAGCCCACCAGGGGGCAGGGCTGGCTGGCATGTGATGCTGGGGGATTGAACCGTGGTCCCTGTGTTTTGCTTAGCTTAGCTTGTTCTAAGTAGGTGCTTTAGACCACTGAGCTATCTCTCCAGCCCCTGTCCAGGTTTTTAATTGTTCATGAAATATAGTAGGGGGCTTGAAGGCTATGTTGTTGTTTTGTTTTGAGACAGAATGTCACTGTATAGTTCAGACTGGCCTCAGTCTCACTTTGTAGTCCGGACTGGATCCTCCTCAGTCAGTCTCCAAGTGCTGGGATTAAGAGTATGTTCCTGTCCCTTAGAATCATGAATTGCATTAATCTTTATCAATACCAACCTTGTATATGTTTTTGGATGACCCACTTGTTTATTATATAATTGTGATATATGACTTTTATATATTGCTAAATTTGGTTTGCTAATACAATAATAAATTTTGTACCTATTTTTATGAGGAATAATAGCTAGGGGGTGGTTTTTTAAAACAGGGTCTTTCTACAGTATGTAGTTCAGGCTGGCCTTGAACTCCTGTCAGTCCTCTTGTCTCAGCCTCCCAGGTAATGGGATTATAGGTATGTACCACCAAGCCTGGCTTATAATTTTCTTTTCATGTAGGTCTTTTTTCAGGATTTGGTATCAGGGTTATACAGACTTCATAGAACAGACTTGGCGAGCCAAGTATGTTAGCACACAGACCTGTAACCCCACCCCTCTTGAAGACTGAGACAGGAGGATGGCAAGCTTAAGTCCAGCCCAGGCAGTTTAGCGATTTAGCAAGACCCTGTCTCAGGGGTGGATCACTGTGTACAGTGTAAAGGTCCTTGGTTCAACTACCAGTACTTAAAAAAAAAAATGCAGGCAGGTTTGGAGAGGCTTCCTCCTCTATTTTCCAAGAGAGTCTGTGTTATATTTTTCTTGTGTAAATGTGTATTGAAACTGAATTCAATCCCTGGTACCAAAAAAACCCCAAAAAACCAAACAATTTACCAGTAAAATTCTTGGGCCTAGAATTTTCCTTGTGGGAAAGTTTTTAAAATTTGTGTTTTGTTTGTTTTAAGTAA